TCCCGAATCTTAAACCTGACGAAGTCGATCTTGTAGATATTCTCCTCGGGGGAGCACAGGTAGTCTACGGGAGACAGGCAGCTGAGCAAGGAAGGGGCCCCAAAGCCCCTGCTGCCAGGTCAGCTTGTGTGGGACCCCAGAGTAGCTACCATCTTCTCATCCCTGGGATCACTACCCTCTGGAAAGAGGGACCTGAACCCCTGCCCTTGGGGTACACCCCCAGTGTGGAAGAGACATAACTCCACCATGGGGATCTAACAGGGGATAAGGCGTGCCATCCTGGTGGCCTCTGGGGGCCAGGGAAGGGAAGGGCAGAGAAGGGTAGAGGACAAGGCCACCTCCCGGACACTCTCCCTCTCACCCTGGAGTTGAGGGTCCTCATTCTGGCCTCTGCTCTGCCAAGGCTAGCTAGGTGACTTTGGGAGAATTGGGTTTCCAGCATGGTGGGAGCCTCTCCTCTCATATGGGAACAACTTCCTGCAGTCTGACCTGTCTCTTCTACTGCAAACTCAATCTATCAACTTCTCTGTTACCCTGCCTTTGAGAACCACACTGTAAAGGGGGCCACACAGCTCTGTCTTGGGAGAGTCACAGTCCTTCTCTGGAGGATACTCCTACCCTCGCCCCACAGCTGCCCCTGGCATGACATCTAGATGTATCAGGTGAGGCTGATGTTGAGGGGACTTTCCCTGATATGGGTGGTGCTGGGGCAGGTGAACAACCCCTTCCCTGTTCCTCCTCCCCTCCCAACCCCCTCCTCTCAGTAAGAAGCTTACACCAGCCCAGCTCCCTTAAGCAGCTTAACCAAAGCTCTGCTGACTCAAGCCCAGAGCCTGGGATATGGCAGGGGGAGGAGGCCAACTTTGCTCTCATCCTTTGTTGATCTCCAAATGGGAGGAAGTCTTAGCAAGCAGAGGGAATCCCCTTAGAGGTCATTTAGGCGGCCCTGGCTCTGAGCCACCACCATGGAGAAAGTAGTCCCGGACCCCTATAGAGAATAACACAGGCTAGGCCAGGAAGCGAGTGTGGCAGGTGCAGCAGCGGGTGTGGAAGGGCTAAAGGGAGTCCTCAGGCCCACAAGGGGAACCAAGAACAGTGGGAGGCCCTGCCTGAGGAAGCTCAGGGACCTACAGGGCCCGATCTAACCCTCACAGCTCTTGCAGCAGCAACTTCAAGTGTTCAGGGAGACCCTGGCAACAAAGAGAACTGAGAAGTGCAGGGAGGGACTCTGATGCTGTCAGCCTACACAGCATCACATCCTCCCCTGGTGGCCCACAGAGGCCTGGAAATCACCCTCCAGGCCCCTGGGCCACCTATTCCTCTGGGGCAGGAAGAGGAAGTGAATATAAAGTCATTTTCTCTTCCCCAGGCCTGCTTCTTCCCCAAGCCTGACACAGTCCCCTCCAGGAAGCCCTCCTGGCAGCTGTCTGGTACCTGGGGCCCAGCATGGACTTTATACAGCTTGGGGAAGAGTCTACTACAGCCCACGTGTGGGGTGGGGAGAGATTGGAAGTGGGCAACCCCTATCTCACGCCATTCACCCTATTTTCACAGAAAGTAAGCACCAGTATAAAGACATAGAAAGAAGGTACAGAGCATAGGGAATAGAGCGGCAGAGTGGGGAGCAGGATCCCAGTGCCCAACTCCCAGATCCCTGTAAGGCCTTCTTTTCTCCCATTCTCCAACTTTTGGAGCCTCTCTCATTTGGGAACAACTTTCTGCAGTCTGACCTCAGTCTCTTCTACTGCAAACTCAATCTATCAACCTCTCTGTCCTTAGAAGAAGTGAGGAACAGGGATGTCTATGGCTCAGAACACCATGGCCACTCCTTCCCTTCTAGAAAGGATAAGGCCTGGGACCCAGGGTCAGGTCAGAATAAGGAGCAGAGTGGCCAAGGGCTCAGAACACAACTGCTCTATTCCTCTCAGCCACAAATAGCTTCCTAAGCTGGATTCAGGGCCCAGTAATCTGGGAACAGCAAACCTCGGACCTACGTGATTAGGGTCAGAAGAGACCAGCAAGAGGTGCCAGGGTGGAAATCCCTGGAACTCTGTTCTCAACTCCTGCACAGGAAGGGGTTCCCATGAAGCCCTTTCCTCTACTCACCCTCCACAGATTCCCCATCTCTAAGGGCTATGAATTTCCTCCAAATTAGGAGACAAATGGTGGTACATGAGCTGGAAGCTCCCTCTACTTGCAAAATCAACCCCCCAAGTTACTCAGGGCTCAATCTGACCTCTGGACTTCCTCTGAGACAGTTCTGCCCCAGAGCTAAGCTGAATCCTAAATGCTGCTGCTGCAAATTGTAGCCCAACTGGCTTCAACATCAGCCTGGTCCAGTCTCCCTCCCTCCATCGACGCCTGCTTGGGCAAGGGAGCTCAGTACTCTGGGGGCCCAGCCAAGAATGGCTGCTGCCTAACTCAGTAAGGATAGAGGAGTTGGCCCCCAGGGACCCAGGAGCACAGGCTCAAGGCTGCCTCCCCTCCACAGCTCTGTCTGGGAGCCCTGTGTTCAGCTGCTTTGGAAGCTCTAGGGCTCAGGTCCACTCCAATATATGCACTCCATACCCACAGAGAGGCCCCCCAACAATTATTCTCACAAAGGGGGCCAGGGCAGGTTGCTGGTGAATGTGGCCAAGGTGGAGAGCCACTGTCTCTTCATCCCTTGAGGCTCAGCCAAGGCCTCTGCTATGAGGTTTCCTAGCCCTCGTTCCCTGCCTATGATGACCCCCTCCCCTGCCCTGAAAGCCAAGTTGTTTGACCCCAGGCAGCAGCCATGAGCAGCCCTGTAGGGCCCAAAATACTACTGATCAAAGAGCCCAATGTACACAGCATGCATAGATGCCAGGCACTGTACAGAATCAGAGGACTTATCTTCACAATAACCTTACGAGATAAATACCATTATCCCCACTTTACAGATGAAAAGACATGCTGAGAGGTCAGGTTACTTGCCCAAGTTCACACAGCCAATTATATGCAAAGTTGGAACTCCAGCCCAGGCAGTCCAGCTCAGAAACTCTTAACCACAGTGGAGACCAAGCCTCCCTTGATGACAGAGCCCCTAGAATAGGGCGGGCGCTAGTCCAGGCTTGGGGGGACGTTAAGCCACTCCCCATGAGAGGAACCACAGTCAACACCCTGAAGCTGCCTGATCAGTTTCTTTCCTGGGGAAGAAAATGGCCCAAGTCTTCCTGGAGGATCAGGGTGAGGGTATTAATGGTTGGGGAGACATGACGAGTCTGAATGCCTCCCAAGTAATTCAGCCTCCACCTAGCCTCCAGTGTGGGGGCTGAGGACAAGCTGCACTCAGCCCCTCTCCTCATTAGTGCAGGGGCGGGCCTCAAAGCGCTCTGAAGACTCCACAGAGGCAGGGCTACAGTTGCAGCTGCTGCCGCATGCACCTCCACGCTGGGAAAAGGGGACGGACCCCTGGAAAAGGAAGGAATAAATCTTGAAAGGGAGAAGAAAAGCGCACAGAGAGAGAGATCAAGGGAAGGGGGTACACAGAGATCTCAGGCTTGGCGGCAGAAGGGAGAGTAGGGGACACAGGAGTGGGAGACTCGGTGGGGGAGGGGAGGCGGGAAAGGGGGCGGGGGCTGGGGCTCGGTGCGCCGGGAGGGCCCCTCGCACCCTCTGCCCTTCCCGCCAGCGGGCGGCGCTCCCTCGCGGGTGCTCACCACCCGTGATCCGCTGCAGCCCCAGCACGTCCTCCGGCCCGATCGGCTGCTTCCTCTGCAGCGGCCCCGGCCTGGGCCCTGGGCCTGCGTCCGGCTCCGACTCGGACCCAGATTCAGATTCCACCGGCGGCTCTGGTATGGGGGCCACGCTCGGGCCCGAGGGCCCGGGAGCGGGCTCCGCCCCCGTCCCGGCCCCACCGCCGCCCTTCTTCACCTTCATGGCCTCGCCGGGCCGCGGCTCGCCTGCTGCTGCCGCCGCTGCCTGCGCCGGCTGGAGCCGGAGGAAGGGGGAGCGTCCACAGCCCCGCCCCCGGCCGGGGCTCCAGGTACCGCCCCGCCCAGGCCCCGCCCCTGGGGTGGGCGCTGCGCTGATCCCGCCCGCCCCCCGGCCCACCCCTGCCGAAAGGCCACGGACGTGGGGGATGGGAGTCGGGGGATCCTGCCCTGGGCTTCATTCTGTTTTTCTAACACTTTCTTGTACTGGTACTAGTGGGGTCCTGACTACCTCTCCGCTTACTCACTGTGTTCCAGCCTTTCTGCTCGTGAGTTCCAGGCTCGGGGTCTCTGCTTGGATGCTCTTCCCCAGATGGCCTTTTTTCTCCTAGTCACAGTTCAAATATCATCTGCTCAAAGTTGCCTCCCTCACACCCAGTCTGAAGTCCTTCCCCCTCAGTCACCATCTGACCAGCCTGTTTTTGTCTTTCCAATGCATTATGTGAAATTATTTTTATTTGTCTGCTCTTCCTCATGAAAGCTCAGCTCTGTGAAAGCACTGATCCTGCCTACTTTGTTCTCTGTAGGACCCCAGCACCTGGCAGAAGGCTCCCTGCAGCTGGTGCTCTAGATATATATATAGGGCCGGGCGCGGTGGCTCAAGCCTGTAATCCCAGCACTTTGGGAGGCCGAGACGGGCGGATCACGAGGTCAGGAGATCGAGACTATCCTGGCTAACACGGTGAAACCTGGTCTCTACTAAAAATACAAAAAACTAGCCGGGCGAGGTGGCGGGCGCCTGTAGTCCCAGCTACTCGGGAGGCTGAGGTAGGAGAATGGCGTAAACCTGGGAGGCGGAGCTTGCAGTGAGCTGAGATCCGGCCACTGCACTCCAGCCTGGACGACAGAGCGAGACTCCAGTCTTTTTTTTTTTGACCTGATGAATTAGTATCTCAGGTAAAAAGCAGATGCTAACAGCCTTGGGCAATCCAGCTAGGAAAGGCCCATGGCCACGTGGAAGCAAAGTGGACCTGTGGGCACAGGAGGACAAACACCAGGAAACTGTTACTTACCAGTGAATGCAGAAAGAGTAGAGCTCAGACTTTGTATCATTCCAATTCATATTCAGCCAGTGTTTATTAAGAGCCTAATATACACTAGACACGTTACATGCTGATCACATTTAATCCTCACAACCACCTTGTAAGGGAGACATCATCGGTGCCATTTGAATGAATGAAAAACTGAGGCTCAGAGATATTCAACAGCTTATCCAAAGCTCTCCAGACAATAAGTGCAAAAATAAGGATTTGAATTCAGGACTCTTTGATTCCAAATCTGGAACCTTCTGGAACCTCTGACTCACACACACACACACACACACACACACACACACCCCCAACACCACGTCCTGAGCTGCTGCCTCCTGGACTTCCACCAGACTGTACCTGACAGACAAAGCTAGCTAGGAGGGAGGGGAGTGAGGGAGAAGGTCCCAGAGGTAACCAATGCCTGACACCTTCATGACGGCAGGGACTAGGGCTCTCCCACAGGGGTTAGAGAGGAGAGTGGAAGGGAGGGACTTTCCCATAATGCTCCCTCCTCTCAGTGCATGAGTGTGCTATGTTGAGAAATAGGGCAAAAGAACAAACAGTCCATGCCACAGAGGGAGACAGGGAGCAGCCTTATCAAACAAGATAAGGAGACCCGGATGATGTGCCTTTGGGGGCCCCTGGTGGTGGAGGAGGACTGAGCCAGGGGAATGGGAAAGGAAGAAAAGATGAACCCATCTTGGAGTGTTGTACTTTGGTTGCTGGAGAGCCACTAGTGGAGACTGGAGACAAATATTTAAGTCATTCCGGCAGGCCCCATGTACGTGCCTCTCAATCTAACACCGCCCACCTTGGCCAAAAAGGAAGGCTTCCTATGGAGGAGCTGCCCTGCTCAGTCTGTCTTCTCAGGCTTTTTCCAGGACTTGTGGGTCTCCAGGAAGATCTTGACCAGGGACAGGAGGATGGGCACAGCCATAGGCAGGAAGAGTGGGATGTAGATGGCAAATTTCTGGTCATCAGGGAAATAAAGGAGGTGGAGGAGTGACGGGTCAAAAAAGGCACGCTCAGAGGACGTCACAGCTTCCTGGCTGGCGACAAAGGCAGATGCCAGGTGCCCAGAGGCCAACTCTTCTGCCGACTTCTGGACTGCAGCTACAGCCCTGTATACCTAGGAAGCAGAAGGGACAAGAGGGTATACCAGTAAGTCCTAGGCATTGGTGGAAAGGGTGCTGGGCCTTACTGTGCTTTCCATCTATCGAGGAAGATGCCTGGAGTTCATCCAGGATCTATGGAAGTCTGTCTAAAGGGATGTGGTTTATTTTCCTAGGGTCAGCTTGAAACCTCGCACTGTCATCTGCACTCCTGCTGGGGGGCTGGTACTGCTGTCTAGAGGAAGGCTGGGACACTAAAGATAGCAAGCCCACACATACCGTGGACTTCACAGGCTCTCTGGTCTCACCACACTCTGGCCCTCTCTGACTACTCCAGTCCCAAGCTGCAGAATCCATCCCCTGCCCGCTTACCTCAGATGCCACATCGTCCTTAATGACAATGTTGCTGATCTTCCCCAGAAGCTGTGCCAGGGAGGTGAGGGTGGTGGTGGCTGTGGCCAGATTCTCCACTGACCGAGCCCAGAGCAGCCGGTCTAGCTCCCAGGTCATTAGCCCTACACTCTTAGGCCCTGAAAGCAGGCATTTTGGAGGCACCTGGGGCTGAGCAATCCCAAAGAGCAACCTGTAGGAACATCGGAATAAGATCAAGGTGGCTGAGACCACAGGGTGGGAGATGATGGCTAAGATTTCTCAAATATCTGTCCTAAACCAGTGATTTTCAATCTTACCCAGAACCATAGGGGTTAAAGGGAAGTACCTCAGGGTCTTGGGGGCATAAGTGGCAACACCAAGCAAATTGGCCCCAAACCCTGCTTCAACCGGTGTTTCTGCTTTTACCTGTTTCTACATTAGACTTCCAAGATCTTGTTTTTTAAAAAAAGGTTCCATGGCTAAAATACTTCTGATAACACTAACTTAGTTTAATCCTTTCACCTTCTCTACCCTCTCTTTGAACAAATGGGGCCAATGGGACTTAGCATTAAGGGATGATCCAGGACTGCCTTTGCCAAGGCACATGTGCTGTGCTTCTCTAAGCCTGCATCCGTGACAGACACCGCTAGTCAATCAGAAGAACACTCTTTCCTAATGAGCCCAGATACAGCCTTAGAATCCTCAACATAGAGCCTCAGACAGTCACTCTCAATCCATCAGGCAGCACAAGAATTAACAGTTATTTTCTCAAGCAGCCCTAATCATACTCCATGGACCTGACATTCATGAGTCTATTTTTCTTAAACTGGTTTTGTTGGCCAGGCACAGTGGCTCACGCCTGTAATCCCAGTACTTTGGGAGGCCAAGGTGGGTGGATCATGAGGTCAGGAGTTCAAGACCAGCCTGGCCAAGATGGTGAAACCCCGTCTCTCTACTAAAAATACAAAAAATTAGTCGGGTGTGGTGGCAGGCGCCTGTAGTCCCACCTACTCGGGAGGTTGAGGCAGAGAACTGCTTGAACCCGGGAAGCGGAGGGTGCAGTGAGCCAAGATCGCGCCATTGCACTCCAGTCTGGGCGACAGAGTGAGACTCCGTCTCAAAAAAAAAAAAAGAGTTTTGTTACCTACTAGTCCTTAGAAAAAGGATGATGGGATCCCTAGAAATATCCCTTAGATATCCCTTAGACATCCCTGGGGCTGTAGGCACAGCCAAGATATCCCTGCCAGGTAAAACTTGATTCCACTTTGCAACTCCCCTCTACAGCCAAGGAAACTATGTCCCCAAGTGGATCATCCAGGACCTCACCGCAACTGTGCCAGGAACACCTCCATCACTCGCACCATGTCCACCTTGACTCTCACTGGCAGCACTGAGGCATTATAGGTTTTGGGGTCGACATTATATACCTGAAAGGGGGAATGAGATTGCCATAACATCATACCAGGCCCATGTATAGCTCTGCCCTAGGCACTCTGGAGAGAAAAGGAAGACATAGTCTCTGCTCTTTAGAAGCTACAAACCTCATGGTATAGCTAATATTTTTTGAGTACCTACTACAGGGAGCATTAAATACATTATCCCAATTAATCCCTTGAAAGTCCTGTAGAACATATTCTTTTCTTATACCATTTTAGAATTCTCCCCCATGAGAAACTTCCAGTCTAACAAGGGAGACAAGGTTCCCAACCTTGCAAGACTCCCACAAATAAGGCCAAGATCTAAGATGGACACAGAATGATCCCAGGTAAGGGCAAAGGGTCATAGTATAGAAAACACTAGCAGAAACAAAAGTGAGGCCCGCAGAAGAGGGGCATGAGCACATGGCACCCTCACCTCCCTGGTGCCTGCCCCTCTCACAGGCTGGGCCATGGAAGACACCAGAAGGAAAACAGAAGGAACACAGTTTCAGGGACACCTGCCTGTCCTAGAAGCATGGGCTCTGGGGTCTGCGTAGTGTGACAATTACCATAATGCCACCCCAGCGAGGACTGTGGAAGGCATTGGTGGCCACTGGAGCGCCATCCTTGTCCTGAATGTACAGCGGTGAGTGTGCAAGCTCAGGCACGTAGAGTAGAAAGTTGAGCACAGGGTACAAGGAGGCAGCACTGGATCCTGTGGTGTAAAGACAAGGGAAAGCAGAATATCAAAACATGCTGGACCTGGACCTTAGTCCCAGGTCACCCTCTAACTTGCTGGTCACTCACTCTGGGACTGATTCCCCAACTAACAATCACTAGGATATCCTCCTGTCCAGGGTGTCTCTAGTAAAGGGCTTCAGAATGCTCTCCCGAGATGTGCCACACAGATGGAAACACAGTCCTTAGCTCCAAAACACCCCTGGATTTTCCCTCCTCAAAGGCCCCTTGACTGTCTAAGACAGCTTTCTTGGCCACTCCCACAATGTACCCATATTACTACAGATAGTTTTATGCAAACCAGAAATCTGACCTTATGTCAGTTCCCCGCTTAATATCCTTCAATGGCTAGCCACCCACATTAGGTTAAAGTTCAAACTCCTTAACATGGTCCTTTATGATCTGGCTCCTGTCTGCCTTACCAGCTTCATCTTTGGTCACTCATTCACATTTCAGCTACACTAAACTACTCTGAGCTTCCTGAATGTCTATGCTCTCTCACTCTTCTGCATCTAAGCTCACAGTTTCCCTTGCCTGAAGTGCCCTTCTCTTCTCTACTCAGCACTGTCAGTCAATGTTTGCTGAATGAATAAATGAACGGAGGAATTTTCTAAGGCCTCACATGCCACCCCCTAACAATCCTCAGGCCACACTAGCCTGCCTCTGGTGTCTGAGATTCCACAATTAGATATACTTACTTTGGTTTGCCTGTGTTACAGTTCTTAGTCACACTTCCTCTTCTTAGTTTCCACCCGAAAAATGAAACTATAATACTAGCTTCAAGGTTATTCAACCTCAATCAGCAGAACTGTTGATTCAAATCCTGCCCTCAAGTACTTTTGCTGTTGTCTTTCCTATGTGTGTGACAACCTCTCTCCTAGATGGCTTTTAGGGAGATAGACCCAGTCTAGCCATTCATTTGTAAAAAGTGCTGGGAATCATGTTTAATAAATGCTTTTGGATATGATAGGTGTGAAGATGGAGATATCAACAGAGCATCATGAAAAAGCATCACCTAGGGCTCAGGCATGGTGGCTCATGCCTATAATCCAAGCATTTTAGGGAGCTGGAGTGGGAAGATCACTCGAGGGGAGTTCAAGACTAGCATGGGCAACACAGTGAGATCCTGTCTCTAAAAAAATTTTTGAAAATTAGCCAAGTGTAGTGGCACATGCCTATAGTTCTAGCTACTCAAGAGGCTGAAGTGGGAGGACCACTTGAGTCCAGGAGTTGGAGGCTGCAGTGAGCCATGACTGTGCCACTGCACTTTAGACTGGGCAACAGAGCAAGGCCTTGTCTCAAAAAGAGGAAAAAAGGAGCCTCAATCTCCGCAGTCTCCTCAGACCAACCCAACCTGGGAACCGTCACTGTATATAATCCACCTCCAACTCCCGTCCCCCACCCAGCTGAGCCGTTAGGGTCCCTCCCTAGCCTGGCAGAAAAGAAAGACCCTCATCCTTAGGTGCTCACCCAGCCGGGACTCCACTGGATTGATGACATGGGGGAGGTTGTGCATGTCCAAATAGTAGCTGGAGGAAGCTGAGTCAAAGCGGGGGTTCACTCCCAACATTGCATAGTAAAGAATCTGTAGAGGAAAGAGGGAGTGGTTACTTTGTTTAGATTTATATTCTACTTTCTCCCAAAAAAGATTTGAGGAGCCTTAAAAAAGATACAATCAGGACAAGGCAACATATAAGAGACAAAACCAGGGCTGAGAGAAAATAGTTGTAGAAGAAAATAGCAAAGCCAAGGGTAAAGTGAATAAACTAAATACATGCTTTAAAAACCACGTATTTTACCAGGTTTCCTAACAGTCTACACTAAGAGAGAAACAAAGAACAGCATAATTCAGTGTCTACAAGATCAAATCAAGCCAGTTATTCAGAAGCAATTACTCCCACTAGGAAGACCTGATAAAAATTTCTCCCACGTGTTTTCTCTACAAGGACACAGCATGATACAGAAAGCTACATTCTTCACATTTTTTTTTTTTTTTTGGAGACGGAGTCTCACTCTGTTGCCAGGCTGGAGTGCAGTGGTATGATCTCGGCTCACTGCAAACTCCGCCTCCTGGGTTCAAGCGATTCTCCTGCCTCAGCCTCCCGAGAAGCTGGGACTACAGGTGCGCGTCACCATGCCCAGCTAATTTTTACATGTTTGTAGAGATGAGGTTTCATCATGTTGGCCAGCATGGTCTCAATCTCCTAACCTTGTGATCTGCCTGCCTCAGCCTCCCAAAGTGCTGGGATTACAGGCATGAGCCACCGCACCCGGCCCTTCACATCTTTATTGTTACCACAATAACAAATTTCAGGAAGCTTTTTTCCTAAAAACTAAATTCCTTAAGAATGGCTCTGCTGGGCTCCGTCGCTCAGGCCTCTCACTTTGGGAGGCCAAGGCAGGCGGATCACGAGGTCAAAAGATCGACACCATCCTGGCCAACATGATGAAACCCCGTTCCTACTAAAAATACAAAATCAGCTGGGCATGGTGGCACGCACCTGTAATCCCAGCTACTCAGGAGGCTGAGTCAGGAGAATCACTTGAACCTGGGAGGCGGAGGTTGCAGTGAGCTGAGATCATGCCACTGCACTCCAGCAGCCTGGCAATAGAACAAGACTCTGTCTCAAAAAAAAAAAAAAAAAAAAAAAAAGGATGGGTCATGGCATTAACATCATTAACATCTAAGCACAACTGGTGAGTACAGGTCTAGAAGGAGCCATAGGAAGGTGGTTTGTTAACAAGCACGGACAAATTCCCTCAACCGAATGCCAAGGAGGTAGAGACACTAGAATCTGCCCTCAATGGATGGATGGACACAGATGAGGGCACACACACACCCCCAGTACCCGCCCTTATGACACTCACATACATAAACACACAGGAAATTCCTAGCAAATCAGCAAGCTCTAAGAGATGGAGGAATGGACTGCACTTGTAAATATGTATGGACGCTGAAAAGGACTCCTCAACTTGCTCCCGGTCTCACCTGAGAGTCCACAGAGAAGTTGCCAGCGGCACTGAGGGCATTCAGGAAAGGTTGCACATAGCGCCGCACAGCTCCCTCAATGTCCCAGTGGACGTCATGGGACTTGGGGTCTGGGTTGAGTAAACTGAAGGTGATCTCATAGCCTACAGAAAGAGAAGTCAGGGAAGTCAGAGACTCTTGTGAAGAGGGGTCGCCTGTACTCCCGGCTGAGCTGAACTTGCTTCTCCTCTGGAATGGGGCTGCTTTCCATTATGGAACCAAAAGGAGGCCAAAACTGGGTTGAGGAACACTGAGTAAGAAAAAGCTGCTGGGCACTGTGGCTCACGTCTGTAATCCCGGCACCTTGGGAGACTGAGGCAGACGGATCACTTGAGGTCAGGAGTTCAAGACCAGCCTGGCCATCATGGAGAAACCCCATCTCTACTAAAAATACAAGTGTCGGCCGGGCGTGGTGGCTCACACTGTAATCCCAGCGCCTTGGGAGGCCGAGGCAGGCAGATCACTTGAGGTCAGGAGTTCAAGACCAGCCTGGTCAACATGGTGAAACCCCGTCTCTACTAAAAATACAAAAATTAGCTGGGCGTGGTAGTGGGCGCCTGTAATCCCAACTGTTCAGGGGGCTGGGGCAGGGGAATCGCTTGAACCCAGGATGCAGAGGTTGCAGTGAGACAAGATTGCGTCACTGCACTCCAGCCTGGATGACAGGAGGCTCCATCTCAAAAAATAAAAAATAAAAATAGGCCGGGTGCGATGGCTCAAGCCTGTAATCCCAGCACTTTGGGAGGCCGAGACAGGCAGATCACAAGGTCAGGAGATCGAGACCATCCTGGCTAACCCGGTGAAACCCCGTCTCTACTAAAAAATACAAAAAACTAGCCGGGCGAGGTGGCAGGCGCCTGTCCGAGTAGTCCCAGCTACTCGGGAGGCTGAGGCAGGAGAATGGTGTAAACCCGGGAGGCGGAGCTTGCAGTGAGCTGAGATCCAGTCACTGCACTCCAGCCTGGGCGACAGAGCGAGACTCCGTCTCAAAAATAAATAAATAAATAAAAATAAATAAAATAAAAATTAAAATTAAAAAATTAGCCAGACATGATGGCATGCGCCTCACCTACTCAGGAAGCTGAGGAGTGAGCCCAAGAGGGCTCAAGCAGAGGTTGTGGTGAGCCAAGATCACGCCACTGCACTCCAGTCTAGGCAACAGACCAAGACTCTGTCTCAAACAAACAAAAAATAGGCCAGGTGCGGTGGCTCATGCCTGTAATCCCAGCACTTTGGGAGGTCGAGGTGGCAGACCATGAGGTCAGGAGATCAAGACCATCCTGGCTAACACAGTGAAACCCTGTCTCTACTAAAAATACAAAAAAATTAGCCGGGAGCCTGTAGTCCAAGCTACCTAGGAGGCTGAGGCAGGAGAATGGCGTGAACCCGGGAGGTGGAGCTTGCAGTGAGCCTATATTGAGCCACTGCACTCCAGCCCAGGCAACAGAGCAAGACTCCGTCTCAAAAATAAATAAATAAATAAAATAGTAATAATAATAACATAAAATAAATAAGAAAAAAAATAAGACTAGAGAAGAAAGGAGAAAGAAGCTGGCCTGCAGATTTCCCTCCTGCCCCACGTAATTCATTTCCTCTCCCTTCCTGTAGCAAAGCCTGGTGCCCTACCCAAGCTGGACTTGAGAGGCCGCCTCTTCTCAGCGCTCCACTTGTCCTCTGGAAGGTGGTCAGCCAGAGCAGCAGCAAGCACGTCCTCAGTCAAAGACATGGCCTGGGCCACCTGGACTATGCGGCGGCCAATGATGTTAAAGGCCTCCCGGTGCATTATCCCCCGTACCACTGCTGTCCTCTTGGGCCCAATGTAGCTCATCATGTCCTGTGGGGGTGAGCAAGGGACAGAATGCCCATGGCTCAGAAAAGAAAGCCGAAAAGCACCCTGGCTCCTGTTATTCCGAATCTGCCCCTTTGCCAGTGACCAACAGGTTTGCACCTCTCTTGAGATTCACGAGCTATTAATTCAGCATTTCTGAGCTATGAGTATATGTTGACTGTTTTCATTTGTTTCCATTCCCTTCTCTTTCCCAGTAGACGTGGGTCCAGGCAGCATCTAACTCTTTGGGGGCTGGTCAAATGGTGAAATGGAAACTCAGAGATGGCATACTGAGCAAGAAAAGCAGAATAAACTGACAACTGGAGAGTCTGATATAAAAATGGCACGTGGCAAAGAAACAAGTATTCACAATAGCATTATTTCTAGCAGTAAAACATAGAAATAATCCAAATGTCCATGAGCAGTAGAATGGATAAATTACGTTTATGTTTATACAATGATACATAGATTCAACTATATAATTATGGATGATTCTCTCAACTATAAATGTTGAACAAAATGAAAGTGGCAGAGGAACATGTGCTATATTCCACCATTTATATAAATTCAAAAATGTAAAATTAAATACACTGTTTACAGAGATACAACATATGTGATCAAACTCTAAGGAAAAGCAAGAAAATTACATACACAAAATCTGGTTGCCTTGGGCTGAAAGGGCATGGAATATAACCATGGAAGTACACACTGTGCTACTGCACTGCAGTTTGTGAGTTGGGGGTGGGGATGGGGATGTTCATTAACATTTTCTTTAGTCTTTTTATAAAAATTAAATGTTTGATTATAAATTTGTTTTGAGACAGAGTCTCACTCTGTCGCCCAGGCTGGAGTGCAGTGGCACTATCTCGGCTCACTGCAACCTCCGCCTCCTGGGTTCAAGTGATTCTCCTGCCTCAGCCTCCCGAGTAGCTGGAACTACAGGCACCCACCACCATGCCCGGCTAATTTTTGTGTTTTTCGTAGAAATGGGGTTTCACCATGTTGACCAGGCTAGTCTCGAACTCCTGACCTCAGGTGATCCACCCACCTCAGCCCCACAAAGTGCTGGGATTACAGGTACGCGCCACCATGGCCGGCCAATTCGTGTATTATTAGTAGAGATGGGGAGTGCAGTGGCATGATATTAGCTCACTGCAACCTCCACCTCCCAGGCTCAAGCGATCCCCCCACCTCAGCCTCCAAAAGTAACTGGGACTACCACATCCAGCTATTTTTTTTTATTTTTTGTAGAGATGGGGTTTTGCCATGTTGCCTAGGCTGGTCTTGAACCCCTGAGTTCAAGCAAACTGCCCGCCTCAGCCTCCCAAAGTCCTGGGATTACAGTGTGAGCCACCAGACCCAGCCAACATTCTTTATTAAAAATATGTAGAGGCTGGGTGCAGCTCACGCCTGTAATCTCAGCACTTTGGGAGGCTGAGGCAGGTGGATCACAAGGTCAGGAGTTTGAGACCAGCCTGACTAACATGGTGAAACCCCATCTCTACAAAAAATATAAAAATTAGCCAGGCATAGTGGCACATGCCTGTAATCCCAGGCATTCAGGAGGTTGAGGCAGGAGAATCACTTGAACCTGGGAGGCGGAGACTGCAGTGAGCCGAGATCCTGCCACTGCACTCCAGCCTGGGCAACAGAGCAAGAATCCATCTCAAAAAAAAAAAAAAAAAAAAATGGAGACTTTTCTGTAGCAAATGGAAGAAATGGGTAGCAATGATGCAAGAAGGAGGTGACCCAGGAGTCCACGAGCTGAAGGGATAAGGCAAAGTTGCAGCCTCTCTGTTACCCTACCTGGGGAAGAAGTGAGGAGTGTTCAGAGATCACATACACAGTCAGGGAGCCCTCCGCTTGCTCCTGAGGCTCATCTAACATGACTTCTGCCTCTGGGGACAAGAACAGGTGGTACACCAAGAGCAAAACACCATTCCATCTCCCCCCCGCCCCACAGAATGCCTAACCTACCCCTTCACTCACATTCAGCTGACACAGTGGTCAGGCTTGGGTAAGCCAATCAACCTCTCTGGTCCCTCAGTGGACTGGGCTGAATCCCACAGTTCCTCATTCTCAGCATTCCCAGAGAGGTTTTGGAGGGAAGTCAAAGTATGGGAACTATGCACTTAGAGATCAGAAGGAAAAAGAGAGCTTCACATTAAAATGGTGTGCTCATCCCTTCCCATACCTTGTACACTGCCCGATGACAGGGCCTCCTCCTCATGGTCCAAAGCCCTCCGATAGGCCTTCTGGAAACGGCATTTGATTTTCATTTTGTCTGGGAGGGTTAAGAAGTAGCACGATGAAAAGGGCAAGCATCAGGCCTCTGCTCACCTTCCCAGACCTAACACTGTCCAGCATCTGAGGACAGCAAGATGGCTGTTTACAGAAAAAGACCAAACAGCTGCAGCCAACTCTAATGATTTCTGCATAGATGATATCAAACACATGACACCCATTTCTCCCATCTGCCCCAGCTCTTGCCTTCACCTCTGCACACACTGGTCCTTCAGCTTGAAGTGTCTTCCCACTGGAAAATCTATTTCAATAGTCATTACATTAATAGGCAAAAGGAGAAAAACCATATGGCCATTCCAATCACTGCCCCAAAATAATTAAATTCAGTGAACATTCCTGATAAAAAACAAAACACACAGGCTGGGCACGGCGGCTCATTCTTGTAATCCCAGCACTTTGGGGAGGTTGAGGCGGGCGGATCCCTTGATCTCATGATGGAGATCAGCCTGGGCAACATGACGAAACCCCATCTCTACAAAAATACAAAAATTAGCCAGGTATGTGCCAGACATGGTGGCTCACACCTGTAATCCCAGCACTTTGGGAGGCCAAGGCGGGTGGATCACCTGATGTCAGGAGTTCGAGACCAGCCTGGCCAACATGATGAAACCCCATCTCTACTAAAAATACAAAAAATTAGCTGGGTGTGGTGGTAGCTACTCGGGAAGCTTAGGCAGGAGAATCGCTTGAACCCAGAAGGTGGAGGCTGCAGTGAGCCAAGATCACACCATTGCACTCCAGCCTGGGCAACAAGAGCAAAACTCCATCTTAAAAAAAAACAAACAAAAAAAAGCCAGGTATGGTAGTGCACACCTGTAGTCCCAACTACTTAGGAGGTTGAGGTGGGAGGATGACTTGAGCCTGGGAGGCAGAGGTTGCAGTGACCTGAGATCGCACCACTGCACTCTAGCCACGGCAATAGAACCAGACCTTGTCTCAAAAAAAATTAAAAACAAAAAACTACACAGTTAATGACAAAACATTAAACACAATTCTATAAAGTTAGTAATAAAACAAGGATGCCTGCTATCTCCTCTATTCTCATTGTTATTCAGTATTGTTCTTTCTGAAGTTCTTTACCAATGTAATATGTGAAGAAAGAGAAAGAAAACTTGTAACTATCGGAAAGAAACAAATAAAATGGCCGCTTTGAAGCAGCATAATTATTTCCCAAGAAAATCAAAGAGAACCAACTGAAAAACTATTAGAACTAGTAACTGTTCAATAAGATGACTAGATACAAGAATATGCAAGAATCAATACCTGCATAAATACCAGCAATATCCAATTAGAAACATCTTTTAAAACCTCAATCACATTAACAATGAAAGTATAAAAATACCCAGGAATAAATGTATAAAACTATAAGAAGAAAACTTCAAAGACTTTACTGAAGGACATAAAATATCTGAATAAAATGGAAAAGCATACAAGGCCCCTAGATGAATATTATAAAGATGTCATATTATAAAGACTAAATATTATAAAGATGCCAACTCTCCCCAAATTAATCTATATGTGTAAGGCAATCCCAAAGGGATTTTTGTGCCTTCTGAAACTTGACAAGCTAAACCTAAAATTTATTGAAAAAGTTCCTCTTTTCCTTATAAAAGAATTCCAGGTCATATATTTCTTCCAGGAAGAAGAAATGACAGAATTCTAAAAGTCACTAATTTGGCCGGGTGTGGTGGCTGATGCCTGTAATTCCAGCACTTTAGGGTCCAAGGTGGGAAAACTGGTTAAGCCCAGGAGTTTGAGACCAGCTCGGGGAACATAGTGAGACCCCGTCTCTACAAAAAAATTTAAAAATTAGCTGGGGACAGGTGCAGTGGCTCACGCTTGTAATCCCAGCACTTGAGGAGGCCAAGGCAGGCAGACTGCTTAAGGCCAGGAGTTCAAGACCAGCCTGGCCAACATGGTGAAACCCCATCTCTACTAAAATTACAAAAATTAGCCGGGCATGGTGGCTGTGCGCCTATAATCCCAGCTACTCAGGAGGCTGAGGCAGGAGAATCACTTGAACCCCGGAGGCGGAGGATGCAATGAGCTGAGATCGCACCACTGCACTCCAGCCTGTGTGACAGAGTGAGACCCTGTCTCAAAAAATAAATAAATAAAATAAAATAAAAAATTAGCTGGGCACAGTGGCACATTCTTATAGTCCCAGCTACTTGTGAGCCTGAGGTAAGAGGACCACTTGAACCCAGGAGTTCAAGGTTACAGTGAGCTATGATTGGGCCACTGCACTTCAGCCTGAGTGTCAGACCCTACCTCAAAAACAAAAAAAAAAAAAAAAAAAAAAACCCCCCCTTCTCTTCTTTTTTTTTTTTTTTTTTTTTTTTTTTTCTGGCTCTGGCTCTGTTGCCCAGACTGGAGAACAGCAGCGGGATCCTGGCTCACTGCAACATCCGCCTCTCTGTTTCAAGCAATTCTTCTACCTCAGCCTCCCAAGTAGCTGGGATTACAGGCATGTGCCACCATACCCAGCTAATTTTTGTATTTTTAGTAGAGACAGGGTTTTCCCATGTTGAGCAGGCTGGTCTTGAACTCCTGACCTCAAGTGATTTGCCCGCCTCAGCCTCCCAAAGTGCTGGGATTACAGGCATGAGCCACCGCACCCGGCCTACTTTTTTTTTTTTTTTTTTGAGACAGAGTCTTGCTCTGTCTCCCAGGCTGGAATGCAGTAACACAATCTTGGCTCAATGCAACCTCCGCCTCCTAGGTTCAAGCAATTCTCCTGTCTTGGACTCTGGAGTAGCTGGGACTACAGGCGCACACCACCACACCCAGCAAATTTTTGTATTTTTAGTGGAGACGAGGTTTCACTACATTGCCAGGCTGGTCTGAAACTCCTGACCTCAAATGATCCCCCGCCTTGGCCTCCCAAAGTTCTGGGATTACAGACATGAGCCACTGTGCCTGGCCACACACCAGTAGTCCTAGCTACTTGGGAGGCTGAGGTGAGAGGACTGATTGAGCCTAGGATTTCAAGGCTGCAGTAAGCAATGATTGAGCCACTGAACTGTAGTCTGCATGACAGAGTGAGACCTTGTCTCTAAAAAACATAAAAATTTTAAAAAGCACTATCTTGTGACTGCTAATGAAATGGATTCATGATCAAATAGATGCTAAAAATATCATGTAAAAGGTTGATGAAAAACTCTAAAATATAGAGATCAGGCTGACAATACCTGAACTCACTACATAATCTTTGCATCACCCAAAATGGAACAGGGCTAGCCATTAAGTGCTACAGGATACAACACAATAGGAAGTACACTGCACCACCTATAATGTATTCTCATCCAAAAAATTGAACCTGGCTTTAATCAAACCTCTAGATCTAACTAACAGTTTATAAGAAATATGGATGCTAGAGGAATGAGTTAAATTAAACTGTGAGGAAGCTACTTCCCAAATCCCAAATGTGAGATGTTCTATAAAACAAATGACCTGGTTTCTCCAACAAATCAATGGTGTGAAAGAAATGTATGGGGGTAGGGCGGGGGGAGCTGACATAAAATAAAAGTGACAAAAAGACAAATGCAACTTATTGATCCTGATGGAATAAACCATCTGTGAAAGGATACCTTGGAGATAACTGGAGAGATCTAAATACAGACTGAGAATTAGGTGATATTAAGGAATCACTGCTAACTTAGGTATGATAATGGTAGTCACGTTTAAAAAAGAAACAAAAAACCTTCGATGGCTTCCCTTCTTATCTAGAATAAAAGCCTAGAATGCAAATTCTCACAATGACCTACCAGGCCCTAAGTGATTCAGCCCCCTTCTACTGTTCTGGTTTTATTTCATTTCCTCTTTCTCTCTTCCTCATTCAACCCAGTGAAGCCACAAGGAGATTCTCACTGCTCCTGAAAGGCACAACACTTGCTCTTAACTCAGGACCTTAGACTTGCTTTTCCCTCTGCCAAGATGCTCTTCCCCCAGGTATCTGCACAGTCTATTCCCTTGCCTTTTAGGTATTTACTCAAATGTCATCTTTTCAATGAGACCTCCCTTGTCCACCCGATCTAAAACTGCAATCCCCTCCCATTCCTCAAGAAAATTCCCTCTCCTCCTGTCCTCCTCTATTTTTCTTCTGTCACCATCTAACATACATTTGACTTACTTGTCTTTTTTCTTTTTTTTTCTTTGTTTTTTTTTGAGATGTAGTCTGTGTCACCAAGGCTAGAATGCAGTGGTGGGATCTTGACTCACTGCTACTTCCGCCCCACAGGTTCAAGCGATTCTCCTGCCTCAGCCTCCCTAGTAGCTGGGATTACAGGCACTCACCACCATGCCTGGCTAATTTTTGTATTTTTAGTAGAGAGAGGGTTTCACCATGTTAGCCGGGCTGGTCTTGAACTCCTGATCTCAAGTGATCTGCCTGCCTTGGCCTCCCAAAGTGCTGGGATTACAGGCGTGAGCCACCACATCCGGCTTTGTCTTTTTTATTGTCTTCTTGTCTTTTTTTTTCATTGCTATATCTCTAGTAACTATCACTGTATCTGACATAGGTACACAATAAATACTTGTTGAATAAATGAACAACCCTATTACTACTTCTGGCTAACAGATGAGGAAACCAAGGTTTAGAGAAGTTAACAACCTTACTCCCTTAGTCAAATTTACACAAATAAGTGGCAGAATGAGGCTTGAATCCAGCTCTCTGATCCCAAATTCCATACTCTTGGTCACCCTTTAAATGCGTTGCCTATACTATACGTTTACACTATACCCATATTACTGAACACTGTGTCATCAAATATGAAGAAATCCATGATAAACTGAAAACAATCAAATTTCAAACTAGTGAGGGATAGTCCAATTTTTGTTTAGAAAACAAGAAGTGTGGCTGTGCGTGGTGGCTCACACCTGTAATCCCAGCACTTCGGGAGGCTGAGGCAGATGGATCACCTGAGGTCAGGAGTTCGAGACCAGCCTAGCCTAGCCAACATGGTGAAACCCTGTATCGACTAAAAATACAAAAAATTAGCTGGGCGTGGTGGCAGGCGCCTGTAATCCCAGCTACTCCAGAGGCTGAGGTAGGAGAATCGTTTGAACCCAGGAGGCAGACGTTGCAGTGAGCCAAGATTGTGCCACTGCACTCCAACCTGGGCAACAAGAGCGAAACTCCATCTCAAAAAAAAAAAAAAGAAAGAAAACAAGAAGTTTGTGTGTGTACAGAGGCTGAACCATACAAAATATGATTTTTTTTTTTTTAAATGTTTTAACCAGCCAGGTGTGGTGACTCTCACTTGTAATCCCAGCACTTTGGGAGGCCAATCACTTGAGCCCAGGAGCTCGAGACCAGCCTGGGCAACATGGCAAAACCCTGTCTCTACTAAAAATACCAAAACAAATCAGCTGGGTGTGATTGTGTGTGGCTGTAGTCCCAGCTACTGAGGCAGGTGGGCTGAGGTGGGAGGATCGCTTGAGCCCAATAGATCAAGGCTGCAGTGGGCCCTGATCGTGCCACCATACTCCAGCCTGGGCAGCAAAGAGAGACCCGTTCTCAAAAAAAAAAAAAAAAATGTTTTCACCAAGGCTAAAGAACTAAAAAGTAAATGGCACACAGGTGCCTCATGCTCTAGACTCAGCCCAAATCTCCAGTCATTCCCAGTCTTTCACTACACATTCCAGTAAGGCAAAACTGCTCATAGGTACCCCAATATGCTGATTCACCCCTCCACACTTTCACACAGGAGTATAGTTTGTTGGTTAAAAGCCTGAACACTGGAATCAGTCAGGCCTGGATATAAATCCCAGTTCCATCTCTTACTAGTTGTGTGATCTTGGACAAGTTAAATTCTCTAAGCCTCAGTTTCTTCATTTATAAAATGGGGATCATATCATTAGAAAGGATTAAATGAGGCAACACATATAAAGTGCTTCACCTAGTTTCTGGCACACAATGAGCAACAACTATTAGCTATCCTTATACTATCTCATGCTATTCACTCTGCCTGAAATTCTCTCCCTCCCTTTCCCATTTAACCTGAATTCCCACACATCCTTTAAAAATCTGACTTAAGAATTATATCTCTCAAAACTTTCTCTGCCTTTCTTTCCTCCCAGTTGGTTAATACTCTTTATTAAGTGCAATCCCTGTTTCTTGTATACTTCTACTGTAATTTATTTTATCTTTCTCCCCTACCTATGAATGTCTTGAAACCATTATCAATTTCTTATTAATTCCTAAATTTCTGGTACCTAAAAAAAGTACCCCAGTAAAGTGTTCAATGTTAAACTGAATAGGGGCTGGGCACGGTGGCTCACGCCTGTAATCCCAACACTCTGGGAGGCTGAGGCGGGCGGATCACCTGAAGTCACGAGTTCGAGAGCAGCATGGCCAACATGGCAAAACTCCATCTCTACTAAAAATACAAAAATTAGTTGGGCGTGGTGTCGCGCGCCGGTAATCCCAGCTATTCCGGTGGCTGAGGCAGGAGAATCGCTTGAACCCGGGAGGCGGAGGTTGCAGTGCGCCGAGATGGCACCACTGCACTCCAGCCTGGGCGACAGAGCGAGGCTCCGTCTCAAAAACTAATAAACAAATAAACTAAATAGGGCCTATATGCAAATCCAATTTAATTTCAAACTCTGTGTTCTTTCCATTACATCCCACCTCCTCCCCTATACCCTGATGGGCATCAACTGCTTCCGATTAGGTAGCCTAACTATCTTATGAGTAAAATTGCTATTTAGTGACCGTGAATTTGAAAGTAGTTTTTTTCTGACCAAACACACTGTTCATTCAGAGAGGTCTTTTAATAGTTTTTAACTGCCTTTATGGTACACCCACGCTCCTCCCACCCAACTTAGCTCTGAACTGAGCTCACACGTGAAAGGCAGCCCTGACCCCCAGGAACTCACATTTCAGAGGAATCTCTCTTTCATGCACAACGGTGAAGGGCAGCTTCTCCTGGTCGTCCAGGGGCACTGACTCCCGCGTAAACACGACAGTGACAGGCACCATGAGGCGGAGCTATAGGAAGGAGCATCAGGGCCGTCACTGAGTCTCCACCTTACCGGGAGGCTGTCCCCCGACCCTCCCGCACGGCAGTCTCACCTGCAGGGCATTCAGTCCACTGATCTGGGAGTAAGGCAACGAAGCCCGGTAGGTCTCCGTGGTCTTCCACCAGAGAGGCAGCCCCAGCACGATGGCCACCGCAGCGAAGAAGAGGGCGGCGCGCTTGCCCCGGACCACCTCTGAGGGCATGGGGAACCGACTGAGGCGTTGGAAACGGGCTAGGGTACCGGCCCCATCTCCGACGCGGAGAAGCCCCAACCACCGGCCTCTACGGGCCCGCGTTCATTGGGATCTCCGTTCGAAGGGACCCGGCCCAAGCCTGAAGGGAATCCCTTCTGAAGAGACCCCCGAGCCCCCCGTCCGCGGGACCTCTCGCACAACACAATCCCCACCCCTGCTATTCCTCCCTTGCCGTCAGCTAGCTGCAGGCTCCCACCCGAAGCCCACCGCACCTAAGTCTGTAGCCGCGGACCCGGCGACCGCCATGCTAGCTTCCGGCTGCTCCGGCCGCCGGGGGGCGGAGCTTCGTGAGCCTCACCCAATCGGAACCTCGGCAACGAGGGGGCGGGACCGCGGCGGTGATCGGGGCCAATCGCGAGCGCTACTCCAGACTAGCCGGCGGGGTGGGCGGGTTCCGCTGGGAGCTTCACTGGGGTCTAAAAGGAAGTCACCCAGCCGCGGAGGGGCTGCGGATGGGGCGCTCGGGTTTCGGCGCTGTTGGAACGAAGTCCCCCGCTTCCTTGTAGAACACACTTCTAGTCCCTCAATCAAGAGCGCAACCTCTGCAGTCCCTAAATATTAGCTGGGCAACTACAGGCAGCTCCGAGGCTCAATTGTCTTATCTGAAAATGGTGATATTTAGATAAATGAGGCCGTTCTTGTAAGGAGCCTGGCACATGGAAAGCCCTCAAACGTCAGCTGTCACGGTCTTAGTATCCTTATCGTAGAGCTCCTCTTGGGGTGCCCTCTCCTCAAGCCTCAAACACGGAGGTAGCAAGCTACTATGTTTTAGCACAATTGGCTCTCTCGCTATCTTAAAATACGTTTTAATTCATTTCCAACTTGGAAAACTCAGGATACTTCACTTAAAAATCTTGAAGTCATGAGCCTGGACTCTAGATGCTGATCACTGCGGTTCAAATCCTGGCTTCATCACTTATAAGGTGAGTGATCGTGAGAAGATCGTTCTGTGCCTCTCTGCGCCTGTCTTCTCTATTAAAATAGGGATGATAGTAATAGTACCTTCTTTATAGAGTTGTATGAAATGTGTGAATACATATAAAGTGATTAGAACATGGTTGGTGCTATGTGCAAGCTATTTCTGTTATTATGTCAGGCCACACAGGATGGAGCATTTGTAGCCTCCCCAGTTGACACAGAGCACACGCAGCTTGTTATCTCATCTTTTTATCTGCCTATACCCAGGTTCTCAGCCTACCTCACAACCCAGCCCAGTGGTCAAAGTTCAGCATGAGGCCTCACCAGAGCTGTCCTTACCCAGACCCTCAAATTGGCTCCCTTTGTGCCCGCTTCTACCCCAAATGAGAATGGGCCATAGCCCTTGGCAACCTCCTAGATGCCCTGCTCAGCCCTGGCAGCCCGCAGAGCCTGGGTTTTCCTCTTTGGGCGGGAGTCCAGGTGCTCGCTAGCGCTTACTGGTGTGGCTCCCCCTAGTGGAACGTATCAGGTCCCAGTTGGGCTCAACACTGCGAGATGGGAGAGACTCTCCCACCCACTCTTATCCCAGCCTGTCCTGCTGCCTCCCTGCTTTAAGCCTTGCACAAATCTGCCTTCAGGAGTTACCAGTCTGGCCTCACTCCATCCTTCTGTAGCTGCAGCCCAGTGCCACTGATGTGGCAGTCCCTAGAAGACTTGCAATCTTCCTCATTGCCCCACTCCAGACTTGGACATCAAGAGATCAAGAGCCTGAGCTGGGGATGGAGACTGCATGTGCCTTCCTCCATAAACTTGAAGCCCAGTAAAACTCAAATACTACCCTCTCCACCCCCAGAGTCAGAGGGCCCAGAGATAGAATTAGCAGAGATCAGAAACTGGGAGGTGGGAATTTGATGTGTAAAACAGACAGGCAAAGTAGCATGTTTTGCTACCATTTATTTGCTGTATGGTATGTACTCAAGGCATGAGTCAGGGCTTCTGTACTACTCTCTGATCCCAGGAGACAGGGCAAGCAAGAAGGAGAGCCCAAGGAGAAGCTACCCCATCATGGGAAAATTGTGGGAGCTGGCAGAGGTAGGGGGAGACCCAGCCATCCTGCTCTGACTTCTAGCAATTTCTTCTGCCCTCAGTCATGAGGGGCTCCCTATCCTCCCATCCTATGGTCCCAGGTGCAGCAATGAGAGAGGGGGAGGGAGAAGAGAAAGGAAGACAGGTTGGTGCCAGGTGAAGGCATCTCTGCTCTGCATAACTATTTGGCCCTGGCCATGACTACAAGCAAAAGTGGGTGCAGATGGCTGGGCCAAGGGCTGTGATATGGAGTGGATACTCAGTAGGCATGGTTGGCAATGTAGAGGGACTGTGCTGCTGCTCCACCATCTTCTCCACTGCCTTCGTACTTGCCCTGGGCTGCAAGCCCATTTACCTGCAAAAGGGAGCATGGAGTAAGCAGGCTGAGCCAGCCCACAGGTGCCAAGCCCTGCCCAGGCTATAGCCTCTGGGTGCTGCCCCACCCACCACCAACTGTAGCTCCCAACCTCAGCCCGCTTGATGAACTCCTCAGTGGCAGCCCCAGCATTGTCCCGTTGCCCTCGCCAGGCATTGAGTGCAGAGGCTTGCAGGGCACGCCCATAGGAGAAGGTAAGCGCCCAGGGCCGGGGAAGCGGGCAGCGGTTGATGGCATTGAGGTTGAGTGATGCCTCCTCTTCGCTCTGACCCCCAGACAGGAAGGTCACTCCTAGTGTGGAGGAAAGAAGACAAACTGACTGGTCACTCCCAATTTTTCCAGGATAGGGAACCCCTGAAGGCCACAAAAAGGACCTGAAGATGGGCCTTAGGGATAGGAGCAGGTTAGGGAGCTGGGTAGTACCTGGGACAGCTGGGGGCACAGTGCGACGCAGGGCAGTGACAGTTGCCATGGCAATCTCCTCTGGGGTATACTTGATGGGACAGGCATGGCCAGGGGTCACCATGTTGGGCTTGAGCAGGGTCCCCTCCAGGTACACATGATGGTCACTCAGGGCCTTGTACACAGCAGCCAAGACCTGGGTGGGGATTAGAGGAGGTTTACTAAGGGTCTGGGCCCCCACTGGTTACTGCTTGATGCTCCCTATCTAGGGGTAGATGGGCACAGACTGTGAGGGCTCAGTAAAGGCTCAGATCACAGGCCTGTGCCAGGATCAAGTGAAAAAGTGCTAGGGGAAAGTGTGCCTGGATCTAAGCTGGGGGCTCTGGGGAACACACAGTCCTGCCGAGCTGTCCCTGCAGTATGTTTGTGTGCCCAGGTGTGGACTCACCTTCTCTGTAACATACTGACAACGTTTGAGGTCATGGTCTCCATCAGGCAATATTTCAGGTTCCACAATAGGCACAATGCCATTCTGCAGGCAAGAGCAGAGATGCTTGGGAGGGGCAGTAGGGGAGATGAAGAAAGCCCTGTAACTCTCTCCCCACCAGGTATACAGGGCACCTAGCTCACCGCCCTCCCAACACACACCTGCTGGCAGATACTGGCATAACGGGCCAGCACGTTGGCATTCTCCAGAATGGCAAGTGCAGAGGGCGTGCGCTCACTGATTTTCAGCACACAGCGCCACTTGGCAAAGTCAGCACCATCCTTCTTATACTGGGCACAGCGTTCTGAGAGCCCATCCAGTCCTGCAAGCACAATGCTAACCTCATTACTCTGCCCCTCTTTTACCAGCATCAACTATCTAACACCTCTTTGGTCCTCAAGCCCACCCATCCTATACCTTGAGTGGTGGTTTCTCCATCAGTCCCAGCTAGAGGCACCACACCCTTGTCAACCTGTAGGGGAAGAACAAGCAGAGGGTCGAATCCAGGCAGGATTCTCCTTGCTACCCCTTCTACACAAGCTTATTTTCACACCCAGCTTCCATTCAGAGCAGGGCCGGGGGCTGCACCTTGATGCCCACGACGATGCCCTTATCCTGGATGGTTCGGACGAAGGGAACACCATTATCATCTTTCTGGTAGAGGGTCTCATGAAAGAAAATAACACCTCCAATGCACTTTTTCACACGATCATCAGCACTGAACAGGACCTGGCGGTACAGCCGGCGGTTCTCCTCTGTGTTCTCCACCCCAATTTGGCTCAGCCGCTTGGCCATGCTGCCTGGGGGCAAACAAAGAAAGGCAGTGAGAACATCCCCAGGGTCCCCTAGCCACCTGTACCCTACCTGGCTACAGATGTCCACTTACCTACAGACTCATCCGCAGCCAGAATGCCTTTGCCCGGGGCTACAATCCGGAGGGCAATGTCAGACAATTCCTTCTTCTGCTCAGCAGAAAGGGCTGGGTACGAGTGAGGCATGGTGACAGCTCCCTGGAGTGGAGACAAGATAAAAAAGCCAGACCTCACCCGCTACCTCCTCTGCTGCCTCTCCTGGCCAGATGGGCCAAATGGCCTCCCCCATCAAGCAAGGGGCTGGGAACAGGGCAGCAGTCCTTGGCATGAGTCCTGGGCATCAAGTGGCACCAATCCTTCTGACAGCTAGCAAGCTTAGGGCTCCAGTTCCCACATCTCCTTTTGTCCCTGGTAGGCACCCTTCCCAGCCCTGGGGAAAGATGCAGGGTGGGGGTGGGGAGGTGAGCAACCCTGAAGCCACAGGTCTTCTGGTGAATCTGCTGCCCAATCGAGGATGCCAACCCTTCTTTCACTGAACTTAGCCCCTTGTTGAGGTAGGCAGAAGCCCTGGCTTTTCCAGCTTCCCTTTTCTCATCCTCCACAGGACCCCTAGGGAAAGTGTACTTACTTCCAAGGCTTCAGAATGAGGCAAAAGTACTTATTGCCACCCTCTTCTCTCAGCTTCTAGAGGAAAAGGTTGGAAGAACAGGTAGGGAGTAGGAGTGGCACAAGTACCAGTCATAGGCTCCTGCAGCTTCTCCTTTTCTGTACTCCAAACCTGCCTGCCTATGCCTATTGCCTACTCCCACCCAGTACCGGAGGTTGGCACCCAGTGGGGCTGCAGTGTTATAGGAAAGAGGGTCCAGCAGGTCAGCTGCATTAGTGTGTGGAGACTGGGGTTAGTGACACCTCCGGGTCATCTCTGTGCCCAGCGAGCACTTCACCTGCGTGGCGGGAGGGATAGCAATAGGAAGACTTCAATTCTCCACAACTCAGACACCCAGACGGGAGGGCAGAGGACCAAGGCTGAAAGGAGTGGAGAGCCTGAGAGAGAGATGAGACTGAGGGGAGGTAATGGTGACGCAGGCTAACCAGTTAGCAGGAGAGACCTAAACTACTGGGCAGAGAAGGCAGGAGAACTTTAGAGAGGACCTAGCCTAGGAGGAGAGGGAGCAGGCTGAGCAGGAAATGCTCTGGGTAGGAGATGCAGACTCCAAGGAAATATCCAACAAGTAGAGGAGGATTTGGGATTGGAAAAGCTGAGGTTCAGGTGGGAGAGCTGAGGAGGGATAGAACAGGAAAGGTTGAGCCATGGGGTTTCAAGTATGCGGAAAGGAGCGAAGATGTTAGGAAAGGGTCGAAAGGGCACATCCTGGAGTCCCAGGTAGCAGGACGAGGATGGCAGGGGAAGAGCCAAGGAGACGAAGCGGAGATGTTGAGTGGCTCCTGCCTCGCCTGGCCTTACCTGTGCGCAGCCAGTTAGCAGCCGTAGCCACAAGCACAGCTCGGGTTCTGATCGGCAAACAAATGCGACTGCAGCCCTGGCGCCCTCTGGTAAATGAGGCTGCGGATGCCGCAGAGCTACGTGACTCCTCCGGGGGTGGGGCTGGCACGCCCCGCCCTGACCACACCCCCTCCCCAGGACTGGCGTCCGGGGCAAGGCCACGCCCTCAGAGGCGGGGCGGCGAGGTGGAGAGAGCGGCCCGCCAGACATCCGTGACTGTCAGGGACTGCCCTCCCACCTCGTGGAGCCTAGCCATG